CAGCGGACGAGTCGCACGCAGTGCTGTGTGATGTGAGACATCAATAGACTATTTGTCTTGAGGCAAAATCACCGGAGTACGCGTTGCAACTCGTCCGCAGATCCATCCGCGCCTCTGCCTTTTCGCCGGGCCACGAGCCTTCTGTCGGCTACCTGAAAATGTGCCGCACTGGCGGTCGGAAGTGTATTTGAATGACCTCAGGGCCTCGTTATTTTGCAAATGACAGGCTCTCCAGCTGTCATTTGAGCACAACAATCTTATCGACAGCGCATCAGCCATATCGTTTATGCTCTCTCCTGCAGCGCCCTGTGGCTCTTCGTCATACAGTCGCCTACAGCCCAAAAGTAGGCCTTCAATCCCAGTCCTTTCTACGTTCTCGTTTCTTCTTTATCCACTGGCGGTACAACTGACATTTCTTGTTTCACTTTTGATCAATCTTGTTGTTGTGGAATTTGTCCTCCATGTTACTGCAAAAGAATATAATCATTCCATTAAAAGAATCGAGGGGCGGGGCATGCGAGATAGGCGGGGTCTGGTAAGCGATCTAACCGCCGTTATCCTACCTATTCCTAGAATGGTTCAATATACCACTGCAAAACCCTCACTTCCCATTCGAGGGAATGGGTTTAACATCAGCGAAATTTAGCGGAACCTCAATAATGAACACTGCCTTAGGCAAAAAGTTACATATGACTGGTAAAGTTCTATTTCAAGGCTTTCTATTTCACTTGATTTTCTTCTTCCCTGATCGTTGTCCCTGTGAGACAATGTTCGAGATCCGATTCGGTCCGAGAAGCACCACGTAAACTCATTCTGCCACCGTCGGTTACAGATGTGTCTGTGCGGTATCCTGATAGAATTTCATACTGGTGTCGGATCGTTTTTTCTGAAGCGGCCCAAACCAAGTAGGTGGGACTCAACCACTTAGTGACGCGCCAAACATATAAACACCCGATAACGCGCATACCACCCCGGTGAAATCGATATCCAGATTCGCATGGATACGTCCCTTATGATCGTCACCAAACAGCTCAATCACCAAAACAGACAGTGTTTGAAGCCTATAAATTACTCTTCTATATACTTTATTTAAATGATACGCTAGTATTAATTAAATAACGCCTCTCAAATGGAAGTGAAAAACAAAAAAAAATGATTACAAGTCATAAAATCCTAAAGAACACAATTTCAGATAGACCGAGGTTTTACAATAACGCTTAAATGGCTGATTGATTAGAACTTTAAAATATCCACAACTTCACAACAATGTCTTTGCGCAAACGAAGGTACTTACAATAACTTAAAAACAGCAGACCATAGTAAGCCATTTTTTGTCATATCAACAGCTTTATTAAGGTTTGGAGGAGGGCACTGCAGGAGAGGGACCCATTCCAATTAGAGGGGGGCAATGGCAGCCAGCATTGCAAGCTGCAGGAGGAAGGCGCGGCTCCGGGTACTAGCTTAGAAGGTGCCCCCAATCTCTCTCAGAGGACACACAAGAGTGCGAAGGTGGTTCAGGTACAAGAAAAGACACAATAAAAAGAAGCAAACGAACAGATATTATAGGAGGCAATACTACAGGATAAGTACAAGCTCTTCATAAGAGAAAAGCTAGGAATCCTAGCAAACATTTGCACATGGAGGAACATGAAAATTGAGTATTGATCATGCAAACAACGTTTATCAACATATGCGAGGCAACGGCTTAGAGCGAACGACACCACAAACCAATACACCCCTTTGTTCTCTCTGCTGCGTGGATTTTAAGCACCCTGAAGACACGTTGCACGCCCCACCCCTTAGCGTCCCAACCGGACAGCAATTAAGCCCCAGGTTGATGCATTGTTGCAAGCGCCTGGAGACGATATGCCGCCATTAGGAAGTTGACCGTGCGTGGGGTACTAGCTCTAAAATATAATCAGTTGGTTGGTTGCAGCAGTATCAACAACAGACAGAGCGCAATGATTGGGCTGTCCGAAAAACTCGTTTGGACGTGCCTCTTTCCCAAGCCAGCCTCCTTCACTGCTAGTGGGAAAGGGGTTTTTTCGGCCTTGTCGACGGTTTCTTTTCGTTTTTTCTCACTGTCGTTCCACTTCGCATCTCTATACTCAGTTTCAATCGCCATAATACCCCATTTTGAGCCCGACTTTGCCTTTAAGATACCTTTTCTAGCGCCACATTAGTGCTCGATACTCAGGTAAACGTTAAAGCGATCGTAAACGATTCACGCCACGGGGGCGCGGCCGCACGGCGTCGCGCGCGGCATTTGCAAGAAAGTACCATATTCGATCAAGCTCATTTGCCCACGCTCAACCACTGTACAAAGGTGCGCTACGTGAGGAAATCACGATTTCCTCTCCCATTTCCTTTTCCACGAGAATTGTGAACTGTCTCTGTTACCTAGAATTTTCAAAAAAAGGAGATAAAAACCAATAGCACTATTTCCATTTCGTCTCGTAAAGTATACAGCATTAGGCCAAGTCCAAGTGAATGATCCACTTCAAGGGTTCTACAGTAACCCGAGAGAGCCAGCTATCAAATCTGCTCGCTGCCAAAGGTGCTATCTTTTCAGTTTCAGTGGTTCCTATAATATTTACAGTGACACTGTTCAGACACCCATGCTTCGTTGAAGTACTAGGAGAGCTTTTGATACCTTCCGTCCATTCTATAAAGGGCGTTAGGAAGCAAATGTATCAAATTCATTAATCCTTCGGCCGCGGTGAAAACAGATGCGAATTGTGCTGGGTACGATTAGGACACACATGGTGGGTGAGAGAGGGTGATGATAACTGATAAGGGCTTGTAAGGAGCGCTAGAAAGCAAGGTTCCCAGTTTTTCTCGCTCGCTTTAACATTAAAACATCTGCATTGTACTCTATGCATTATGTAAAATGGAAGAGGGACATAAAGGATGAGGGACGGAAAGTGATAACGGTTGATAAAAGCTAATAATGGCCGTCAAAATCCAGTCCCCATTTTACTCGCATGCTACCCCGTCGTGTGACCGACTTCATACTCGTACGTGATAAAGGTAGCAATCTGTGTTAATGATGACATTACGGAAATGTCATATTTACCATTGAATCTGACATTCACAATGACAACGGTCTTTAAGCGAATGATACACACCCCCATCGATCGAAGAACCATCCTTGAATGTCCAGCAAAACATCAAACATCCTTACTTTCCCACTCTGACTCTTTCCCACTCCGTGGTAACGATATTCGTTTGGTTAAAGGCAAGATTCAAGCTTAAACTGATGAGGTAATTCTACTCAAATGTGATGTAGGGGTGGGAGGTGGACCGCCAGTGGAGAAAAAAGGAAAAAAATCGTGAAATACACAGGAAATACGAGCCTTTTGCTCTACGTTGCGGAGAAGTTCAAAAGGCCGGCAGGGAGATGAGAGATAATGTGAGCGCGGAGAGCGGTAGAGAAGTCTAAAGAGCCTACATTGCGGTCTTCATGTCAGAGTTGTGATTGTTCGTGTTCACCATCGTCACAACGCTCATATGGTCCTCATTGCCCGTGTGTTCATTTTTCATCTGGAAGAAATGGACCTTCTTTTTTAGCTCCCTAGTCATACGATACAAAAATTGTTTCTATGTTCCACTGTTTCAGTGCGTACTGTAAAGTGATTATTGATTTTACGCGCGAATGATCGCAACGATTAAAGCAACAGTCCAGGCAGGGTTTCAACTACTTGGTCATTAGGCGGTCAAAACATGCCCCAGCCCAACTAAAGTTTATAGGAAATGTCTTTAATTTCAAAACCTACCTCTAAAATGCGCTGGAAGGGGTCGAAGTCCTCTTGGAGGGGGCGGATCACCCATAAAGAGGCGGATCGCCCAACATACGCTGTGCAGAGCGCTTGCTCGACTAGCGGTCGTTGCGGGACCGCCGCGCTGTATGAGGTCGATTCCATAAGAACGCAATTGAAGCGCTTCAATTTCGATTGCTGGCAAATAAGTAGTATGTATTTGCAAGCATGCATGGCTATTTGCCAGCAGTCAACTGGAGCGCATGTACTACGGGCAGGTTCGGACAACTCGTCCAACACACGTCTCCCTAAACGGCAGGGGGAGTCCCTGTCTAAGCCCCTGCCCGACGTTTTTTTCTACTTTTTCTTTCTCCATTGACCAACTTCTCACCTGCAACGTCATTATAGGTGGTCCTTACCCGCGAATTCGTTCCTGGATTGTTGCTTTAAGTAACGGCAACGACGACTACTTAATTTTCACTCATCACATGCAAGACACATGAACAAAGGATAAGAATTAATTATACAACAAACTTAAAAGCAATCAGGCAAAGCAAACAAAACAATTGCTGACATAAATGCGACTGGAGGCAACCTTTGTTTATTTTCAGCAAGGTTTTTTTTAAACATCTGTAAATTGTTTATGACATACCTGAAGTTGGGTATTGAGAAGTCCATAGAGAATCCAATTCGATGAACT